GTAGTTTTAGAATACAAACGAAAACTGCTATAATTTTTGTAGCCATCGAATTAAATACCGATACCCAGCCTGAATCAAACTTTGACTGCTCCAAATACATGCCGCTTGCTTTATAGGGCATACATGCAACTAAGGGATGAAATACAGACTGTAAACTTACCTGACCCGCTGGAATATGTAAGTTTCAAACAATCGTACTATACAGTGACAACGAGATGGCCTCGCCGAAAGCAAGAATTTGTGCAGCAAAACAAATATCATAAAAAAGAGTAGGTTTTGAGAGCTCCACAGTTTTGGGAAAAAAACGAAGTGACTACTTTAGAAAATAGCTCGGTACTGCTTTCGGTACTTCGTCTTCGTTCGGTACTGCCAGGCAACCATTCCCTGCCCTCCTCGGACATGTCGTCTGCTGTTGATTCGGCGGACAACGAACGAGGTTCACTTTCCTCCAGGGCAAGGAGCATCTTTTCACGTTGTTTCATTGTATCTATAGGATTTATCAGTGCTGCCAAGGCTGCTGAAACGTATTTGAATAATTACTCTGTCCTAAATCCGTATCTGCGCCAATTGCAAAAGCTTGTTTTTGAGTATTTCATTTAAAAAAAATGAAATTTTTCATTTAAAAAATGAAATACCTAAAAACTGTCAACAAAACAAAGGCATGCACATACGCCCAAATCTACGTGTGTACGCGGAGAAAACACATACACACACACACACACACATGCACATTTGCATACACACATTTTTTGCCAGTTAGAGTTAGAGGTATGTGTGTGTGTGTGTGTGTGTGTGTGTGTGTGTGTGTATGCTTGTACGCGCAAAAATTGAAAGCTTACAAACAGCTAAAAATTTTCAATATGACGAACCTTGCTCGATGTCCAGTTTCTTTTTCATCGCTCCAATAGGATCCTGTAATGCATGCACGAGACCTGCAATGTTCACACACAGCTGCCGATTTTAATGAAATCAACAACATTCTAAGCTGCTGTTATTTTTAGCTTTCAAATTGTTTGTAGCAAAAATTGCTACTGAAAAAAATTAGCGAAAAAATAGCTCTTCATGAAGTGTTGCTTGTTTATTAGTAATAAACTGCACATACTAATGCTTCCCTCGTCCACATAATCCCGAACACGAAATAATACAAACAGTGAAACTGGACCAAGCGATCGGCCGTAGGCGTTTCTCAGAGCAATGTGTCGATAGCCCGGTTGAATTGAGCGCACCTGAGACATCAGTGATTTCGGCTGATTAATGAAATTTGTGCATAATCTTCCGTAATTAAAAATTACGAAAAATATCAGCATGCGGAGAACCATGATGCGTGTTGCTTGTCTTGCACTGGGCATGCGTTTTTGCAGTAATTAAGGAAATACCAATATATTTGAAAGATGACCGTTGGTCACTTACTGATTCTTTGATCTATTCATTTACAGTGATATCGATTTAGCTCGATTTAACAAGGAAATGAATTTCATATTACAAATAGCGAAAAAATTCAATTTGGTAGGGATGCCAGCCACATGGCATGACACATGGTGGTAGGCAATATCGCACAGGAGCGAGTATTTTGTTATTGCAGTTCAAGATGCGGCTGTGATTGGCAGTTTTACGATTTATTGGGCAGAATTATGAAATAAGTTCTTGACATGAAAAACCAAAGTAAGCAGGAACTTGTTTTTAACTTAGTCCGTCTAAAACAGCACAAATTTGAGACTCGTCAGTCCTACGTTGTCGAAGGAGTTGTGGATTAATTTCAGCCTTGTGGGCTTCTTATAGGATCAAAGAGATTTTTTGTAAATTTCAAGCCATATTTTTTTTAAGTTTGAATTACAAAACTTGCCCGAAAATGGAACTCAGTTCAGGAGACATCTGTGACCTCAAATTTAATTTTCAAGCCCCTTGACCTTGCACCCGGTCATAACACCCCTCTTTTCACTCCCCACTTCGAAGTTCCATGTTTTCTAAGTTCTTGAGCTATAAGTTTAAGCCCGGAACTAAAGATCAAGAAAGGGAAGCAAACTGAGCATTGATTTTCAAGCTTCATCCACAGTTGTAGGTTCTATGCACAAAATTACATTTTTATAGTAATCTGGAGCTGAGATATGTAAACTCGCCCACTCTCAAAAACGCTCAAACACACATATGTACAAATAACTAAACATGATTCCAGCTTAATGTTTTTTCTTCCTGTCTTCTGATAGCAATAAAACAAAAAAATTCTATTAAAAACAAACATGCAAAAAGCGATGTCCGATCAAGCGACCACTATCCTCGTATACAGCCAAACGAATGGATGCCATTGCCGGGAATATTATCTGCAAAGTTAGTTCAACCTTACCACGCATACCAGAGCTTCAGTTAATAGATCCTTGGCGAACATTTCATTTTCCAGGAAACATATACAATCCAAAATCTAACTTTCTCAAATTTAAAATCCTCA